TGTTTGTTTGTTTGTTTGTTTGTTTGTTTGTTTGTTTGTTTGTTTGTGATTCAGCCAGGCACTTGGGTTTGGTGTCTCCACACTAGTCCTGTTGAGTTGTGTGAAGAACATGGTGTTCATACTGGGTTTGTTGAACCCTAGTTGCTGTGGGTACATGCTCATGGAGCAGAGCATTCTGGGAGTTAAGGACACTGCAGGATCATGTGGGTATGTCTACGCTGCAAAAAAACGAACAAAACAAAAACCCACAGCAGTGAGTCGCAGAGCCTGGGTCTACAGACTCAAGATATGTCTACACCAGAAATGCCACAGCAGCACAGCTGCAGCACTGCATTGTGGACACTACAGCATCAGATACAGTTCTTCCATCACTGTAGCGATGATCCAGCGGCCGCATCCCGTATCCAGAAACTATACAGGACGAACCGCCTGAAAGGCATGAAGGGAGATCCTTGATGGGACCTCATCCTACTGCACCATCCAGCATGAGAGGCTCTATTCCTACTTCAAGGATGTGTTCGATCGCGAGGCCCAGACCGACATGTGACGCCCAGAGTGCCTTCTCCCGCTACATCAGATCAACCTCACGGAGGACCTGGAGCGCGACTTTTCCCCGCAGGAGGTGCTGGCGAGGTTGATGAGGACAAAAACACTGCCCCTGGAAAAGACTTCAAACAGTTCCAGAACTTTTCAAGAGGGTGGCACTCAGCCAAGACATCCCTTTAGAGGAGGTCCAGGAGACACAACACACACTCCTCAAAATCCTCCAACCCTCTTCTCCTCAAAGATTGCGATTCCCATAAATGAAGCACTCCTAGAACCAGCTGACACTCTCTGGCAGACCCCAGCCTCTCTCTTTCCAACTTGCAAAAAGGCTGAATGTAAATATTATGTTCCTGCTAAGGACGTAGACTTCTTATTCTCCCATCCGCAACCTTCTCTTGTAGCGGATGCAGCAACTCGCAGGACAAAACAGCCGCACTAATGGCCCACCCCGCAAGACAAGGATCTCAACGCCTTGACATCTTGGGCCGCAAGATTTATACCTCCTCCACTCTGCAATTCAGAACTGCAAACTATTCCACCCCACTTGCAAGCTATGACTTTGATAACTACAATAAACTCTTTGATTTTACCTCCCATATTCCAGAGGATGAGAGAGCAGACTTTTTTAAGTCAGTCCTTGTCGAGGGCCAATTGGTCTCCAGAACAGCCCTACAAGCATCTTTGGACAGCTTTGGATACAGCTGCCCGCACTACTGCAACTGCAGTGGTTATGC